GAGGTTGCTGTGAGCTAGGCTGATGCCACGGCACTCTAGCCCGGGCAACAGAGTGAGACTCTGTCTCAAAAAATATATATATATATATACTTGGTGGGAGAAAAATGAAGGATATTTTCACAATACCCTATTCTTTAATCTTTCTTAATTCTTAGCATCAAGGCAGTAAACATTTTGATTTGATTCAGTGACAAAATGGATATGGCAGATCTGGTTATGGAGTAGTAGCTGGAATAACGTCTGGAGCACTGATCTCTGGGACCAGGTAGTAAGAGATCGATATTCACTCTGCCCACCCCTCCATCTAAAAATCAAGGAGTATCAAGGCTCCCCCACCTACCTCCAAAGCAGCAAGAAAGGAAGGAACAAAGTATGTGTATGGCACATAGCCCTAAGTAATGTATGATCCGGGACAGACTATATAACTTAACTCTGGGCAGAAACTGGTAATAGAATTTGTACAACTATTTATTTATAAGTACACTTTAACTGTGTTCAAAAACTTGTCAGATGTGAACTCTGTATTAGTTTCTGAACCCATAACCGTATAGGAGGGTGGCTATTTGTGATGCTTAATGTAATAATGATACTAAACTATCTGCTCTCCTTCCAAACTGCTAATTAACTGTAGTATGGCTTTTAAATTTCTGTCAATTAATATATAATTGTAACCTATTGAAGTAACAGAAGTTAATGACACTTTTCAGCTTTATGTGACTAGGGTTGGTCACAATCTCTCAAAGGGTCAGTTTCTTCATCTGGAAAATTAAAACAAAATCAAATAACCTCTAAACTACCTTTTAGCGCTAAAATTCTAAGTACTGTATCTATGTTATCATCTCTGGAACGCAAACTCAGGAAAAGTCCTTAGTTGCAATTCATAATTTTTTCAAATTATCCTTCACTTTCAAAAATAAAAATATTTTCCTAATCCAACATTAACAGAAAGTGTTCACTGGTTCACTCAACAAATATTTGCTGAGCACTCAACTATGTGCCAGACATTAGGCTTGGAAATGGAAGGATACAAAAAGGAACAAAACAGACCTGGTACCTGTATTCATGAAGCTTACAGAGAAGATGCGGAGACAAACCAATTAAACATATAAATATCACAACTGTAATAAGTGATATGAAAGAGTTAAAAGGGTATATAATGGGGAATCTAAGAGATTTCCCTTAAAAAGTAAGAAGTGAGTGACAAATGAGCTAAGAGTGAAGGGTATTTATGGGCCACATAAGGAATCTGTCTAGACAGAAATAAACATGGCATGTTCAGGGAACCTATAGACCAGTGTGACCTGACGTGACAAAAACAGGTGAACCAGTTCCCTGCAAGCTTCTAGTGTACAAAAGTACATGTTAGCTCTTCCAAAGACATACCCTAAGAACTATTTTCAAGGAAGCTTCAAAGCTTCACAATAGTTTCTAATGTTTTAAAAAAAAAAAAAAGCCATACTTTATCTCACTACAAAAGACCAAACTAAATCGCTCTTTTCTCTTTTCACTTTACTGTCTTGAAGTGCATGATAAAAATCATAACCTTTTAGTACTATTGAGATTCCTTTAAAAAAAAAGCAGCTATAAGAACCAAAATCAAGAACTACTGCCCTGACTCTGCCACAAACCTGCCCTATGACTGATCTTAGTAAATGTTACTCGGCCAGTTTGCACCTTAACTTTTCTTATCTGCTTAGTAAGGGGAGGTTCCAGAATTTCTTTTAAGATCCTTCTAATTCTAAAATTATGGTTCCACTGTAAAAATGCTTGTTTCATTCTTGAAAACTGAGGGGAACAGGACCAAACATCTCTGAATTCCTTTGACCAAGATTTTACTAGCCTTGAAGCTCTCTTTACATTTATACATTTGAACATTGCTGCCATTTTATAATAATAAACTACTGAATTTATAAAATTTACCCATAACTAAGGATCTAATAAAAACTATCAAAATTTCAAAAATGCTTAAATATTGTTAAAAATTTACATTTCTGGCTGTACATGGTGGCTCATGCCTGTAATCCTAGCACTCAGGGAGGCTAAGGCAGGAGGATTACTTGAGGTCAGGAGTTTGAGACCAGCAGGAGAAACAGCAAGACCCAGTCTCTACTAAAAATAGAAAAATTAGCCAGGCGTGGTGGTACCTGCCTGTAGTCCCAGCTACCTGGGAGGCTGAGGCAGGAGGATCACTTGAGCCCAGGAGTTGGAGGTTGCTGTGAGCTAGGCTGATGCCAGGGTACTCTAGCCTGGGCAACATAGTGAGACTTTACATTTCCAGTGAGACAGTAAAACTTTAAACAGAGATTCCTAAAAAGTACAAAGTCAAAATAGACAGAACTGAAGGCAGGAGGAATATAAAATTTAAAAAATTTTTCAGGCCGTGTGCCGTGGCTTACACCTGTAATCCTAGCACTCTGGGAGGCCGAGGTGGGCGGATTGCTTGAGCTCAGGAGTTCGAGACCAGCCTGAGCAAGAGTGAGACCCCGTCTCTA